GAGTCCCGCGAGCGAAGCGGCAACACGATATTGAATGAGAGATGTGGCCGGCGCCTCGGCGAGAGCACGGGGCCCAATGAGAGCTGTCTTCTGTTTCCGCCGTTTGCCCTGCCCTCCTCCTGCTCCTCCGTGCCCTCCTTCCGTCTTCCTGAGGCCCCTCCTGTTTCTCGCAATCCTCACCGTTCCTTCCTCTTCCTCCTTTTTCTCCTCCGTCCCGCCTCCTGCTCCTTTTCCTTCTCTGCCACGCGGGCCCATTCGGCGCGCGGGCCAGCCGAGCCAAGGACGACGGCTCAGGTCAATCAGAGTGTAAGGAATTTGACGGCTCTAAGACTGAGTGGAGCTCCTGTTGGTGCTTTTGTATACCATCGGAGGGCCTTCTTGGGCTGTCCTGGGGCCCTCGTGGGCTGTCTGGGGGGGCTTGGGCCGTCCTGGGGCCGTGTTGGGGCTCTCTCGGGCCCTCTCTGAAGCATCCCGTGGCTCTGTTGGGGCCCTCCTGGAGGTCTTTTAGGCGTCTTTTGGGCGCTCCCTGGCTTTCTTGGCGCTCTATTGGCCCATCTTGGGGCCCCATTGGGCCGCCTGGAGGCCATCTCGGGGCGACCTCGGAAGCTCGCAGACCATTCTTGGGCCGTTCGTGGCCAGAAAAGGCGAGAAGCACAGAGTCGTTCAAACACCAATGGAAAATTAAGGTTTTTGGCCTGCTGAGGCCGTATTGGAGGTCTTTGCGGGGGCATCCTGGGCCGTCTTGAGCTCATGTTTGGTCCTGTTGGAGCACTCTGGGGCCGTCTTGGGGCCTCTTGGGCCTTGCAGAGGACGTCTCGGAAGTGCCTTCTGCTGTCTTGGGCTCCCGATGTAGGCCTCGCGTCGCTCTCTTCGGGGTATTTTGGGCCGCCTCGAAGCATTGTGGGGCTATCTTGGGGGCCTGTGGGGTTCATGTGGGGTCCATGTGGGGGGGGGTGTCGGTGACATGCCGGGCTTTTCCTTGTAATTTGATAGGTAGAAGGAATGTGGCTCTCGCCTCAGCGCTGCGCACATTCATCTCTCCTTTACACGAGCTTCACGGATGGAGGGCAATTCTTTTCAAAACGTGGCTCTAGCCTTAGCGCCGCGTACATTCGTTTTCAGAGTCTACAGCAGTTTCCAGGATTATGATGGTTGACGTCCCAGGAATGGTGCTCTGGCACGATGTAGGACTGCCAGGACGCAACAGTTACGTTGTTTCGCGGTGCTGAAGTCCCAGGAACGGTGTTCTGGCACGGTTCAGGATCGTCAGGACGCAAAAGTAATGTCGATTCGCGACGTTGACGTCCCAAGACCGGTGTCCTGGCACAGTTCAGGATTTGTTGTCGGCTGCCTTCCAATGGGGCACCTCCCTCTGATAGCGAATACATGTAGGGACCTATGAAGAGGGACTTTGGAGGGATGGCTTATGGTGGAAACCCAAAGGTAACGATACTGGTACTCCACGGCCCTCTCCTGAGGTGCGTTCCGCCCTGAATTTTGCGGCGAATCCAGCGGTGGCGACGAGGGCCTCCCAGGAGGCCCAGAAAGGGGAAAACAAGGGAAGGGTAGCGGTACTGGTACCTATCCTCCTCCGATGTATTGCAGCATCGTTGATGAGTCTTGGGTTTCCACTGGTCTTCCTCTTTCTCCTCCTCCTCCTCCTCCTCCTCTTTTTAATTCTTATTAGTAGTATTATTATGATTGCTGTTAGTATTATTGTTACGAGTATTCTGATTCTTATTTGACTTCGTATCATCCTTATTATCATTATTATCCTCCTCCTTATTATCCTTCTTCTTCTTCTGCTCATCCTCCTACTCCTCCTTTCTTCTTCTTCTTCTGCTCCTCCTCCTCCTCCACCTCCGCCTCTTCCTCCTCCTCCTCCTCCTCCTCCTCCTCCTCCGCCTCCTCCTCATCCTCCTCCTCCGCCTCCGCCTCCTCCTCGTCCTCCTCCTCCTCCTCCTCCTCCTCCTCCTCCTCCTCCGCCTCCGCCTCCGCCTCCGCCTCCGCCTCCGCCTCCGCTTCCGCCTCCTCCTCCTCCTCCTCCTCCTCCTCCTCGTCCTCGTCCTCGCTGGCGGCTGCGGCGCGGCGCGGCTGCTCCCGTGGACTCCGAGGGGGGCCCCACGGGAGACCGCGGCCGGCAGCGGGGGCAGCTCGGAGGACCCCCGCCGCGCGCCGGGAGCTCTCCGGGAGAGAGGGGGAGGATACCAGGGGAGCGAAGGGGAGGGCGCGTGGCTGGCCTGGGTCGCTTGGGGCTCGTAGGTGGGCCATCGTGGGGTCGGTCGTCGGGGAGGAGGAGGAGGAGGAGGAGGAGGAGGAGGAGGAGGAGGAGGAGGAGGGGG